TCCACAATTTTCCAAAACGTCGCATGTATAGGTTATGGGTTGGTGTGTTTCTTAGTACCATCCTACTTGCTATTTATGTAGTAGTTTTTAGTTTTAGATTCTAATTAGTAGTTACTGTCTACAGATAATGTGTGTAAAAATTAAATATTGCAAGCCTTTCCCAAGTTTTTTTATTTAATAATGTTATATGTTTAATGTAATATAAATAAATATTTGTCTTCAATTAATCTAAAAAATAGTCAAGCAAACCTTAAATTAATTTAAAAAATCTAAAACTTAAATTTAAAAAAAAAAACAGTTTTATTTACTTTATTCTTTACCTTAATGCTTTAAAATCTGATGAAACAAATATATGTCTCCTCAGACATTACAAGTGGACTGTGGGACTAAATCTTAACACTCCATCATGTTAACATTAGATTTGCCCATAAAAATCTTTTGAAGTTCTCTCCTTCTATTAGAAGGACTGGCAGCACTTGTAAAGTTTTCATGGCGGCATAGCTTTGAAGAAATCACCTGTACATGAAGTTTTATGCATCATTTTGTGAGGGAAATAACTGAAAAAGGGCCAAAAAATTGAATAATATAATATAAATGTTATTTATATACTTTAATTTGCATGAGTTTGAAAAATTATTATTTTATTATCATCTGTCACCGTTGAGACTACATACGTCTCACTCAAAAAAACTAATGGGACATCAGTGTCCCAGGTTCTGCTTGCAAAATGTGATTCTAGATTTTAAAAATATTAATGACAAAAAAAACGTGCTGCCAATGGAGCAACTTTCTCTATAAAAAATTAGAAGTCTATTTTGAAAGTGTTAAGCTAAAAGTTATACATCTATTTTACAGATAGTTTTAACAGAAGCATACAGATATTACAGAAAAACTGACGTAAAAGAAGACAATGACATTTATTTTTTGGGATGGAAAGTTCCATTTATGTTCCAGAGAGTGTATGTATATACTGGAATTTTTCTTTTTGGCATCGTCATGGCAGAATTAGCCGCCAATTACATGAAAATCCTAATTGGAAGATTTCGACCTTCATTTCTAGTGATGTGCAAGCCAGATTTCAATTGCAGCAATGCTGAATATTCTCACTTTTATGTCGAAAATTTCTCTTGCACAAACAAGGATTTGGATGACGAAGAAGATCTGAGGTATTATTTTTATATTATTAATATAATATTAAATAATCTTTAATCTGAAATACACCCGATCCTGAACTCTTTTTACACCTTAATGATAGGAAATCAAATAAAAAAATATTATTTAAATTAAAAATAAAACACGTAAACGTAAATATAACAAACCAATTTTTTTAAACATTTCTGTGTTCATATTCTATTACATTACTTTTCCCCTTCAAATTTTAGCATTTCTCTACAGTTTTTACATCGGGTGTTCTTTTTATATCGGGGGTTCACTCTCAGTATATCTATAGAATACCTGCAAAATTTTGAAGTTTGAAACTAGTTTAGAAGTTTAGAAACAAGTCAGAAAAAGAAAAGAAGATACACTCTATAACAAAAAAATCGATTCACTAAGAAGCAATCATCCGATTGCTTTGAAATTTCGTATGCATGAATTTTTTGAACAGATATGGCTGGAATGATGCCGACTGGGGACGGATAGTCTTTAGCGGCGAATCCCGCTTCCAACTGTGTCCTGACGAGCGTGTTTGGAGACGCACAGAGCAGAGGGGGGATCCTGCTTTCACTATTGCACGCCACACCGGCCCTCAACAAGGCATTATGGTCTGGGGTGCCATTTCCTTTGACAATCGGACCCCTTTTGTCTTCATTAGAGGTACACTTTCTGCACAGTGATACGTCGACGACATCCTAAGACCTGTTTTGCTACCGTTCCTTTTGCAGCTCCCTGGACTGGTTTTTCAGCAGGACAATGCCAGACCACATGCGGCACGTGTTACTATGAACTGTCTGCAAGCTTGTCAAACTCTTCCTTGGTCTGCCAGATCACCAGATCTCTCTCCCATCGAGCATGTCTGAGATATGACGGGAAGGCGATTGCATCTGGCACGGAATGCTGATGACCTCGTTCGACAATTGGATTGA